GGGTAGGCCCGCACTTGATTTGGGTAGGCCCGCACTTGATTTGGGTAGGCCCGCACTTGATTTGGGTAGGCCCGCACTTGATTTGGGTAGGCCCGCACTTGATTTGGGTAGGCCCGCACTTGATTTGGGTAGGCCCGCACTTGATTTGGGTAGGCCCGCACTTGATTTGTGGTGGCCCGCACTTGATTTGGGTAGGCCCGCACTTGATTTGGGTAGGCCCGCACTTGATTTGGGTAGGCCCGCACTTGATTTGGGTAGGCCCGCGCTTGATTTGGGTAGGCCCGCGCTTGATTTGGGTAGGCCCGCGCTTGATTTGGGTAGGCCCGCACTTGATTTGGGTAGGCCCGCACTTGATTTGGGTAGGCCCGCACTTGATTTGGGTAGGCCCGCACTTGATTTGTGTCAAGTGCCCGGGCGGGCCTGCCCAAGTCAAGTGCCCGGGCGGGCCTGCCCAAGTCAAGTGCCCGCACACAGAAGTCCTCACACAGAAGGAAAAGGTGTCATTTAATGGATATGACCAGAGCTATGGGATATGACAATTAGATTAGATCAGGATAGGTTGAAAGTGAGCTATAATTATCGTTTTGATCAGGTACTTCAATTATGTTCCTTGGTTGGGTGGAGGACAGGGGATTTCAGACAGATGGAGAGTCGCAAGCGACGGCATTGTTAAGTTCAAGCAGCCTGAAAGGCAGGTCGTAAAAACGTTTACAAACGTCTATACAGTCACTGTATAATGGACTGGTAAGCTTGAAAAAAAAACTTACAATTTCCATAATGAACTTGAAATCAGGAAGTGTACTCATACCAAAACTTCATGCCACTTATCCCACCTACTAACCCCTGTACTTGAGGACAATCTGTCGTCCCTAGGCTCGGCCTCGACAAGATCCTCAAGACCACCCTACTAATACCAAAGCCTCACCATCTCATCATAAAAAAAACAACTTTAAAGTTCCGCCGCATTAGGTCCGCCAAGTTTCCTTCCCGTCATGCTAAGAAAATTACGTCAAGTGCTAAACACAATCAGACTCGCCTTTATTACGTCAAAGCCATCGCCTCTATACACTTCTGCCAAAATGAACACACAACCAGGTAGGCTTTCAGTTACTGCTCTTTCCAAACATACCGCTAGGTGTCGTCCTTACACTGTAGGCCTGTGACAGGTCCCACAATGCACCTCACTCAACTTTGACCTGCCCCATTGCATGACGGGAAACAAAATGGCGGCGCCCATAAAATCCAGGTAAAATAGAACAGGTTTTTGCTATCGCAAACCTGTAAATATGTAGATTATGGAGTTAGACTTGTTGACCAAAAACAGAGACTCTTTTAAAATTTAATACCATTATTGTTTTAAAAACTTGGCAATCAGGTGAATAAGTTCTGCGCGTAATGCCCTGGAGTCAATGTTGGTTGGTCAATGAAATAATCCATTCACCTGGATTAGGAATAGCTGCAGTTATGTAACAATCTGCTATGTGGCGCTTTTGTACCGTAAAGTAAGCCAGCCATTTTAAACCGAACCAAAACAAACAGTGTCGTAAGAGACAATAGTGCGGGTTCAAAAACTGCGACCATGTAACGTCTACACCGTCCATACAACAGACGATATTCCAAGATAACAGGTAAGAGTTAGGTTTACAGAGTATTTTACTTATCTTTGTCGTAACGTCTTTGGAGAAAACGTTTTAGTTGGCTTCGAAAAAAGTAAAAACTTGCCGTGTGGGAGGGGGGCTTCTACATAATATTTTATGTCAGACGGTTTAGCAGTCCAAATATTCCTCGGCCTTTGCTTGTACTATCGTACAAAGAGGAACCAGACAAAGGCCATGTTGTGCTCGCACAGAAAGGCCAGTGTTAAACATGTTGGCTTGGAACAAAGAAGCGGAAAAAGGAAAAACCACAACATTTCCCAAGATTATATTACTCGAGGAGGCACAAAAGAGCCGTTGTTGGATTTTCCAATGCATTTAGTACTACAAAGGCAACTGCAGGAATTGGTCATTATCGTGAGTTCTTCCGTACTGAATTAACGTTATCGTTACTATCAGAACTTTGCTAATCGTGGTCAAAAGATTATTTGTCAGCATAGCATCGAAATCTTGCAATCATAAGCAAATGTTCCAATTTCATACAACCAGTAAACGATTTTTATTCATTTCATGGCAAATATTATGATAATTTCATCACCCAACAGTTATCTGATGTTAGAAAAATTCCTAGTAATTCAAATTCAGTACTGTATACGGTATGTTGAATTTTAAAATTCCTAGTAATTATAATTTGAATATGAATTTTTAATGCTGAGTTGATACATTCATAACATAGAGCTAGCTTTACTATATGATTGTCCAAGGATGTTCAAATTGACCAGTGACATGTTCTCTTCTTTCTGCCTTGAAGATTGAAGCCCTGATTAGTTGATCAGGATGGGCAACCTGCTGGGAACGCCTCTGTCCTCCGAATCCGAACCAGAATCTGATTTCACCGAAGACGAAACCGGCGGGTATGTGGACGATAAAGAGAACGTTGCCTTCGAACAGACACAACCTCACGACGATCCAGCTTCACTGACCAATCACGACGCACGTAACTCCTCCGAGCTGACCAATCACGACGCACATAACTCCCCCGAGCTGACCAATGGAGAGCTGGCTCTCTCCAAGCGAACATCTTCCTCAGAAGATGAAGAAGAAAACGACTTCATCCCAGCATGCAGTAGGAGTGAAGCAGATCACACAAGCAAAGACGTTTTCGAAGAGAACTTGGGTTTGCCTGTTTCAGATGTGGACGTGAAGATCGAGTTACGAGAGGAGGATGTGTTCGCAGGTGTGCAGAAGTTCGGAGGTGAGCCGGGGGCAGAGACAAGAGAACAGGACCAGGAGAGAGACAGTGGGTGTGATCCGGAGTGCGAGAGTCCCAACAACAACACGTCCAACAACAACGGTAAGGACAAAAGCTATATTATTGGTGTGGTGGACATTAATAGTTATAGTTATGATGTCATTGTCAGTCTTTACTTCATTCAGTTTGAAGTGATCATGGAAGCTCATCTGTGTTGGTAGTAACAATTTTACTACAATGTGGGGTCGTGTGGCGCAATGGCAGTGTGCGCGACTCGGAATCAAGAGGTCCCGAGTTTGAGTCCTGACATGCCACCGACCTTGTGCCCTTGGGAGGACTTTCCCCGCTAGACTCAAGTGAAAATGAGTATTGTCTGTCCAGTATTCGTTTCTATGTGTGGGACACAACACCAGCAACAGCTGCCTCTGTTCCGCATGTATTGCATTGTTGCAATTTCAATAAGTCAAATCAATATTAGACTTTTATTAATTTTCAATGACCACTTTCGTCTTAATCAGGATAATTAACAACCAATCACTTCTGAAAGTAAACCTGAGAGATAGTGAATAAGGTCACACGTCTGTAACTCTTGTGGGTTTACGTTCGGAAGTTATTGGTCGTTAATTATCCTGGTTTAATGAAAATGTACCAAAATTCTCCTGTTAGTATTGATAATTGTTTGAAAGCACCAAATAACGGTAAATTTGCAATACTGATGGTTTGTGAAGGGTCCTAATGAAAATTGTCAAGGAGTAAGGGTATAATTCTAGACACAAATCTTTCCCATTTTTTTCCAACCAACAGTTCCCACGCCGGCACCCCCCATAGAAGACATGGTAGAGGCCGTGCTGCGAGACTTGATCGGCGGTGCCGTCACCATGGTAACGACCTCCCAGTCCTGCCCCGCCGACCTGAGCCAGGCAGGTCAGAGGTCGCCGCAGCGCTGGGAATCATGGGAGGTGGACATGAGCAGCTGGGTCAAGAACAAGGTCAACCGGAAGGTCAAACGAGGTTAAAACCATCATGAAAGTTCATCTGTGTTCAACTTGGTACTTTTTAAGTTGAAACTTTTGTTCCAACATAAAAGAGAAGAGCTCACCTAGAACTTTTAACCAGTCACTCTGGTCTTCTTCAAAAGACTGACCCAGTGAGACTTTTCATGATGTGGATTCTCTGACTTTGACCCATCGTGTTGATGCCACCACACTTCAGAGAAGCCACGTGACAAGTCTTACTGGGTCAGTCTACTGAGGAAGACCAGAGTGTCTGGTACAAAAGTTCTAGGTGAGTAACGTTTTATATGGTTGTT